AGACGTGGGTGGAGGAAAAAGGATGGGGAAAGGTGAGAGATAGACTTCCGGAGGGATTCATATGGAGATTGCAGGCGGCAGTAAAGAAGAATAAGAAAGGGAGGGCGGCAGGAGGAATGATTTTAGGGGTAAGGAAGGAAGTAGCGGTAAGGGAGACAGAAGGGGAAGAAGAAATAGAGGGAGTGATAGTGGGGAGGATAAGGGGCGATAAGAAGATAATTAGAGTGGTAGGAGTATATGTAAATGGAGATATGGAGAGAAAGCTGGATAAGTTAGAGAATTGGATGGTACAAAAAGAAGAAGGAATTGGAACAATAATTGGAGGGGATTTTAATGCAAGGACGGGGGAGGAAGGAGGAAAGGAGAGCATTGAGGGGACGGATGGGTGGGAGTTTAGGAGAAGATCAAGGGATAAGAAGTTGAATAAGGAAGGAAGGAGGCTGACCCAATTTATCAAGGAAAGAGGATGGTTTATTCTAAACGGAGGAATAAGAGGAGACAATGAAGGGAACTGGACATACACAGGAGGAAGAGGAGAGTCAGTGATTGATTACGTTATGGTAGAGGAAGATATAGAAGAGGAGATAGAGAGAATGGAAGTAGTAAATAGAATAGAATCAGACCATCACCCGGTGGTGGTATGGCTAAAAGGAGATAGGAGAGGGCGGAAAGGAGGAAGGAGAGAAAGAGGAAGAGAAGTAAGAGGAGTATGGGATGAGGAGGGAAGAGAAGATTTCAAGAATAAGCTAGGAGAAATAGGAATAGGAGAGAGAAGGGTGGATGAAGAAATAGAGGAAGCAGAGGAGAAAATAAGAGATGCATTAAAGAAGGTAGAAAAGGAAAGAGGGGCAGGAGGAAGGGAAAGGAAAGGATGGTGGGACGAAGAATGTAGGAGCATGAAGAGAGAGACAAGGAGAGTGTTAAAAAGATGGTGGAAGGGAGTAGAAGAAAAACGGAATTATAGAGAAAAAAGAAAGGAGTACATGAGGCTTTGTGAACAAAAAAAAGAGGAAGAGAACAAGAGGGTGGAAAAGGAGGCGGAAGAGGCGCGGACAGAGGAGCAAGTATGGAGAGT